GAAGAGGAGACAGTCCAAAGCAATCAGAACTTAAAAAGAAGAAGACAGTACTCACCAAAGAAACTGTTATTTCTAAAGCCAGTAATAGCACCAACTGCCCACGCTTTTAATTCATTCACTTCCACACCAGGTGCTTCGTGAAAAGTCCGAGATGGCTGATGCGGAGAGACCAACTTCCAAGAGAGCATTAACAAGAACACCTCACTAGTAACCAAACCAGATAATCGCTCAATGCTACACCCTTCTTCAAATAACACATCTCTTGTATATTCACCAATCAAAGGATAAAAATCATTGAAGTTTCCTTTATCCCTGACCTTTCCATATTTTTGAGAAAAACCCATCATCCAAATTTTTATCAGATCATCAAAACAAGAAAGACTTGAATTTTTTTCTTCACCATCTGCGAGAACTGAGCAAATAGCATCACCATTACTATTGCAAATGCTTATATGGGCAGCAATATCATCAATCAATTTCTCAATTTCATTTCCCAATTTCTTATCTCGCTTCTTCCAACCGCTGTGTGATGCCACTGTGATAAATCCATTGATGGCTTGGTACAATTCAAACACCACTGGTGCCATGGCAGCAATGGACTTTGGGCCAGTGCATGAAGCCGTACACAAAGCAATGTGCTCAAAAATCTTTCGAGTCGAAGAAACATGGCTGAGAACATTGGTTTCTTCTGAAGTCTCTTCAAAGAAGATTGTTGCGGAGAAGCACCATATGACTTCTAGAGGAGGATCTATTCTTGCTTGAATCAGGCGACCAAATAGTGATCGAAGTTCTGAAAAGTCACAGTGTTCTTCATGAAGTGCCTGTGAAAAGCGTTCTATTGCGTCATTGAGGACTTTTCTGTAAGTTTTGGCACTCAGAAGGTTCGAATTTGGTTTTGCTTCTTCATTCATCAAAAGACTGACCATGTTTGGAAATGACAAGATGGTGAGAAAGATGAACCAGATTTCTTCTCAACTACAGGTTTAAACTGAGTATTGCTATAGAATAGAAATTCATGTTAATAAACAAAACAAAAAAGGACTTCTGAAAAACTGGCAGAGAAAAAGCAATAAAGTTAACCCAAGAAAGGGGCCAAGGTGTTGAAGCAACGGAGAAAAAATGGCGTTTTCCGCTAGGCACCAAACTAGTATTCTGAAGCAGATACAGGAAAAATCCCAACAAAAGAATCTAAACTTTGAACTGCCACAAAGACGAAAATTGGGTTTTTAAAAAAGATAGTAACAAAAATTAGGGTTTAGAGTAGCACATCTGAACTTAAACTAAGCAGCATATGGAATTACCTCACGGTTCTAAACCACCAATAGGGGAGCAGAAACTAGGGTTTCAAACTAAGCATAAAAAAAAACTAGAGATATGGAAACCCAATATTGATGAAAGAGAAACAGAGAGAGGAAGAACTAGAGTTTCAGAATGCGCTAAAAGATTTGAAGTTTGAAAATTTTATTCAACTAATAACCATGGTTTCTGAACTGAAGTAGGGTTTCAGAATGCCTATTAAAGAAAGAGGCTAGGGTTTCTAGGGTTTCCAACTGAGCTATTCCGCCATTTTTCTCTGCACTACGTCTCGTATGTGCCCTACTGTCTGTGCAGAAAATCTAGGGTTTGGGGGTTTCAAAATTTCGGCTCCCGATCAACGGTTTCGCGCTAAACTAAAGAATGCCTCGAATATTAGACGAAATTTCGGTGCGACCATCATCCTTGAGCTAAGTTGAATATAAAGCATCCGTATGTCCTTTGAGCGTCGACGGACGAGATTGAGCTAAAATACGTAGTCTCCATATATTTTAAACCGTTAATCTTGGTAACCAACGGTGAATTATGCGCATATGTTTTATAATATACAGAAGTTGTGCTTGAAGAAGGGCCTTAGAAGAACGATTTCTATTTCAATTTACGCTTATGAGAGCGTGTGCTATGCTCCCGCGGGAGCATAGTTTAATATTACTTAACAAGGCATTGGTGGAATTATTTGAAAAGATTGGGGTCTTTTTCGATAAAACAACGGGGCACATGAAAACTCTGTGCCTCACAAGACAAGGACTGCAACATTCTCAGACAAGAGAGAAAGAGGGTGGGCTCAGTTGCAGAGTTCAGGAGGGCTCCCTGCCCTAATCGACGTTGTTTTAGGTTTAGGGTTAGGGTTTCCATGGCGAAGGTTGAAGTTATTTGTCTACTATATTTTCTTCTTCTCTCTACAATCCCTGTTTCACTCTGCAAAAGAGGAACACAAGCGGTTGCAAGAAGAGAAGATATTCCCTTCATCAAATGTCAAGTTTGTCAAACCATCGCCCAACAAATCCACTCTCTGGTTTCCAAGAAGGGAGCTCAAATATCACCTAAACAGGTCCTTCCCCCCTTCCTTCTCTAACGATATTTTTCTGGATTTAGCACATCAAAATATAATTTGTTAACTATAAAAAAAAAAAAATCGGAATCGAGTTTAGATTGAGGAAGAAATTTCAAGGCTAATTTTTGCTATCTTAAGGCTCAAATGCTTGTGTTGTTTTTAACATAATAAGAATCAAGGGACTGTATTTGAATGGTTAGGTGTTCTCTTTCCTCTCCCTTACTTAGTGAAATTCAATTTCAATTTCCGAATTTCACATTATTTTTTTATGTTTCTGGGCATTTCCTTTTTTTTTTTTGAATAGATGTTTCTGGGCATTTCCTTACTTATCCGTTTCATGTTTTTACAATCGTAAGATGATTTTTTGTCTTTTTATTTCATTTATGCAAATTTTGTGTTTTGGCTTGATTGCTCAAATGTTTATATTTTCTTTTTATAAGCGTGTGTTTTGATATTTTTTTTTGTTTTTGTTTTGGTCAGTTTTACAAGAGGTGAATTGAGCTTATTTTATTTTATTTTTTTCTTTTTCAACTTCTTTGGATCAGGTTTCAGAATATCAGATCATAGAGATAGCAGAGAATATTTGCAACCTGAAAAAGGAAGAAGCCGATTGGATCCTTCGTTTTGATATTGTTGAACAAGGGGATGAATTGAAGGTCAGTTGCTCATTCTCAGTGTTTTTTGTATTTTGTTTTTATTTTTTGGTTCATAATTTTGAGGGTCTGGCTAGGTATTTTGCGATCGGAGATTATTAGTGTGGCTTCTTTCAACTGCGAAACTTTAGCTGATGCTTTTAAAGTAAAGGCTTCCTCATTTCTTGTTTGCAATCTGTAGTTGCATCAACCCTTTGATTCTGTTTACTATTTTTCGTAAGATGTGTAACATTTACGATGTTTATGTCTGGCATGGACTAACAAGTCTCCTAGTCTTGAATATCTAAACTTTGAATGAGTAACCATCCAAAACAAGGGAAAATCTAACATTTGCATGAGTTTCACTTTAAGATATTGATATAGTGAACTACAAAGAAGAAATTTGGTTTGAGTTGAGTCAATTCGTCCCAGACTAGTCAAAATCAAATGAATTAAGAAATACGGGCATGTCCTGAAAGAATCTGTCAAGTTTGTTTGAGTTGTTAAAATACTTTCCCAATTTGATTGATCCGTTGACTTGATGATCTTTCCAAAAGTCCATTTTCTTCTCAGTTGATTGGGAGCAAAGAGTGTTAAAAATCAGGAAGATGTGATCAATTTTTCTGGGGAAACATTATTTTCAAACAATATGAGGAGTGCAATGGGAAAACTTCTGAATTTATCAAATGATAGTGACTAGCACAAATCACATGTAAAAGTTAAAACAATCAAATAAACTAAGAGCTGCCCAGAGATGCTATGACAATTAAGAGTCATAGCGGAGCTTCAGTTGTCTTTCTATTCCCAATACACAAAAGTAACCTATACTTGATGAAGCATCAAACCACCCCCAAATTAATATGTCAAAAACCTGAAAGTAGGGAGAAAAATAATTTAAAACTTACCTATTTGCAAAAGCAGGTTAATATCTCCCTCTCTCTTTTATAGAGAGTTCTCTCATTCTCACTCTCTCCATTGAACTCGTTGTAGTCCATTTAAAATTTCCTACAGTTGAATCAAGAAAGGACTTAAAGCAAGTGATGAACCAGGATTTTCAATGTAAATGAATGTCTTCCATTTTGGCGATCACATCTAATCAAGTTAGGGGAAGCATGAAACTCATTTTTATTTAATGAAACTTACAGCCCGTTTAGTGTATTTTGGGGTTCATTTGGTCCATCAATAGACCTTGTCACTTTTGTGTCATTTATAAAAGAAATACATAGAGAAAGATGCGTACTTCTCTTAGGGGAAATATAAGCAGTAGATATAAAAAGGAGCACCAATGGAAAAAAAAAGAATGTGTCAAGATTCTCAGAAAACAAATCAGGTACCCTACCAAGTATGATGGAAAGAGATCCAAACTGAGAAAGGTGAGCAACTTCCTAAATCCATCAGCTAGCCTCCATAGGAGACCAGATTTATGCTAAGCCCATCTAATGGTGTTAAGAGACTTCCCCTCTGCACAACTAGCTCAAGAAAATATAATCTAGGTCTAGATCGGAAAGTGGACAAATCAATTATATAAAAAAAAGAGTTAAAGAGTGCAGACATTTCCACTTGGATGTAACAGCTAACTATGACTCTCCAAGAATGTTGTAATCCTAAAGGAACCAAGATACCTAAAAGAGCTACCTTTAGCTTGAGGGAACTCACAAGAGGGATATCCAACAAGTAAAAGGTTATGATACTCCATGCATGCCCTCCTTGACCATTTCTTTCCATGAATTCCTTATCACATGAATCATCCTTACTCCTCGAGTCTCCTTTGACCCAAGCAACATTGTCATCCAGAAGTGATGGAGGGCCAAATTATTCTTATTTTTAATTTTTATTCAATTTCGAAGGATGTATATTATAGTTTTATTTTTAAGGTTTATTTCTAGGGGTTTTTAGCTTTTTAGGAGTTCCAGGGTTTTTTTTATTATTTTTATTTATGATTCACTGGTTGCTGTTCATAGTTACAGGTCATGGGTACTATTTATGTGTACTGTTCACAGGGGTAAAACTGTCATTACAATATTTAAGTTTATGTTAGGCTATATGGGTCGATGTACTATTTATTTGGACACATTTTGTACTTGGAATATTAAATTGTAATATGTAAGAGGTGTGTGGGGCCTTGAGGGGGTCATTATGCATTACTTTTAGAAATTGAAAGAGAGAGAAAAGCTTAGGCATTTGCAACCCTAGCTTGGTTGTGGAGAAAAAACCTTAGGTTTATTTGAATTAACTTGTGTTTAGATTTGTTTCTTACTGATTTTATTGTTCCCTCAATTTTTTTTGCATTAAATTGGTATCAAATCCCGCAATCCATACGGATAGTACTGTAGCAAGTCACTGTAGCATGGTACTATAGCACGGTATTGCAGCATCGCTTTTTGTGCCTTAGATCAACAACAAAGCTTAGATCTTGTTTTTGTTGATGATCTGCCTAGGATTTGTGATTTTTACGATCCCATTGCAATGAGAAGGGGTTGTATAAAGGGGATTTTTGTAGATCCTCTTCGTGATCCCATAGATGATGGAATTGAAGAACTTGAAGGGAAAGTTCAGCAGTTGACGCAGCAATTCGCCAGCCTCAATAATAGTCAAGAAGGTGATCTTTTAGCCTAAGAGGATGTCGAGTAAAACCCTTTTCACTTTTGTGCTCCGCATGGGGAGTCAAGTGTTGAGGATAGCGATAGAAGACCAAGATGTGGGGAAAATCACTTTAGGGTTTACTATTTGAAGGATAGATGATTAATTTTGACACAAATTGTATCGAAAATCTAGAAGAAGTTGATTGAAATTCACCACCAATCTTCAATATATACTCTGATTTCTTAGGAAATCTGATAACAACAAGATTTCTTAGGAAATCCAATCTATGATAAGGATCAAGATGATAGGGAAGATATTTTGGAAGAGGGTTAAGAATATGGAGAGAAAGAAGCAGGAGGATTGATCCAAATCATGGCTTTTGAAGATTTATTAATATTGAAGAGGTGGTGGCGCATTTAAGAGATTTACTGCATTGGAATCAGAGTAGTGCAATGAAAGTATGGCCGACTCAAAATTTGCAAATTATGGCTCTGGATTTAGAGAGTAATGAAATAATGTCGAGAAAACTTCTACAGACGATAAAATTGAGTTTGGTTTTAATGGGAGTTCATGAGCAGCCGAATTTGATAAATTTGCATCAATTCCTTAATATACATATCAGGATCCGTTTCTTGAGGTATTCTTTTACCACGGATAATATTTGAGCTGACAAAAAAAGATGGTTGAAGGAGGTGGTTTTGATGCTGAATCCATCTTAGCAAACTTCAAAACTCGACAATGAGTTTTCTCCAATTAGGGGAGAATGATGGAGGGCAAAATTATTCTTGTTTTTAAGTTTCATTAAATTTCGAAGGATGTATATTACAGTTTTAGTTTTAGGGTTTATTTCTATGGGGTTTTAGCTTTTTAGGAATTCTAGGGTTTTTTATATTTTTTATTAATTATTTATAGTTATTGTTCACAGGCGTAAAACTGTCATTACGAAATTTAAGTTTCAGTTAGGTTATATGGGTCAATGTATAATTTGTTTGGACCCTTTTTATACTTGGAACTTTAAGTTATAATATATAAGAGGTGTGTGGGGCCTTGAGGGAATCATTCCACATTACTTGTAGAAATTGAAAGAGAAAGAAAAGCTTAGGCTTTTGCAACACTAGCTTGGTTGTGGAGAAGAAACCCTAGGTTTCTTTGAATGGTGCTTGTGTTTGGCTTTTGTTCTTGTTGATTTTATACTATTTCTTCTGATTCTCCTGCATCAAGAAGCAGCCAAAATTCTCTCATGAACCTAGACTTCTGCCTTCTAAGTTTCTATGGTCCCTTTCCTCTCTTTCCCTAGTCCCCATAAGGTAGCAACCAAGCAGGGTTTCTAAATAACGTACCCTTTCACTTCTAAGTAGGGATTGGAGAGCGCTAGAAAGAAACAAGGTCACTAGGACAGCAACTGAAGATTTCATCACAAAGTAGCACAAGCATTGGTCCATAATAAAATACCAAGTTTCTTTAGCAAGAGGGCAATCAATCAAACGTATAATGCAAAAGTTTGGAAAGCTGAATTGTTTTTTTTTTTTTTGTTGGGAGGATAAACTTTTGCTTTATTCTATTGTGTGCTATTTCTCTTGGGATGTTTTAGTAAATTGGGATGTTTTAGTATTTCTAGCTCTGCATGTTAGCATCATTTGAGAGTAGTCTTGAAAAACTCGCTCAGGCTCAGGACTCGACCCCTACCTAAGCCTAGTAACTCAAGCGAGTTTGAGAGGACTTGGCCAAGTCTTCAAACACTGTTTGAAGTAGTGTTTAAAAATTCAGTGCCTCGATCCGGATCAGGTGTCGGTTAGACCCTCCTGGATCTGGCTATAAGGATTCGGCCTATTTGCTACAGTAAATCGTATGTATGACATCATGCATTGGTGCATGCTGTCATGGATCATCCCGCCGAGTCCGTGAAACTTGGGCACATTTGAAAAAAATTAGAACTAACGGTATTAGCCTCTTCGCACAGAAACACGTGGCCCCACCTACCCAACATGTGCTCAAACAGCAACACGTGGACCTACCAACCCAACATATGATGCCCCACATGCTTGTAGGCGTGTACGTTAGAAATCTATTGTGCAAGCTTTTATAGGAAATCTATTGTGTAGGCTTTTATACAGGGAAAAGTGACACTCATTCTTCTATGTGGGATTAATCGTCCCATTCACCTTTGAATTTTTCCATCACAACTTCTAAGCATCC